GAAAGTACAGAATGTGCCATTCAGGATATGTGTCATTATTCCTTGTGACACAGAGTTTCTCAAGTACTGACTGCTCTATGCCAATGCATGCTTAACTGCTGTAGCCAGGTTGAGTGGCTTTTTGTTTGTCTGACGTTGCGTTTAAGAAAGAAGGATGTTCTAGCTAGCAAAAGACGTTAGGAAACATCTTTCATCAACATAGTTCTCAGCATCAAAGAATCACCAGTGTCCCTGTACAGCACGTACATTCCATGCATGGACATCCCATGCCCAGAATCCCTGTACAATGATGGAGAAAAATATTCCTTCAACTGATTATTCTAGAGATGGCAATTTGCGTAACTTCTCAAATGGCAGTAAATCACCCATCCTTGATTCACAGATGCTTGAACACACTATATAGTAATGTTAAATCATTAGGTGTAACTTAATAATATGGTTCTATACCCTTGCATTCATAATTTGATAATTTTCTCCAAAGTCTTGTCCAGTATGATCTCTATCAAAGGAAAATTTAGCAGGATTTCTCTAGCCTACTTGAGGTTCTCAGTGGTAAGAGATTAAAATGAAAACAAGTCTCAGCACTACACCACCTTCTCTTCTGTGATTTATCAGCTGTAATTTCTTCTCACTTGATAAAGTAAGGTAAGGTATTAGAGACTGTGTGAAAAAATACGCCGATAGAGAAAACCAGGAGTCCGCACAGCTGACTGGGATAGCTGATAAGACCATATACAGTTAGAGTTTACCTTTCTGACTAATCGAAGTGCTTGTGTTCTTTCTACTTCATTACTCTGCTGTATGTCAATGCACCTAAAATAGGGTTAAAAAAAAAACAAAAAACAAAAGCAAATTACATTTTGGTTATAACAACACTAACTTTCACCTTAACTGTTAACATGTTGTGTTAATATTTATGCAGTTGAATAAACAGAAGAAAAAGAATATTACAACTGTTTAAAAATTCTGCCTTTCAGCAAGCATACTCATGATTGGTCAATTAGCTTCAGTTTTTATTTTTTTCAGTTATCTTCATTACAATTAAATCACTAAAACATTCTCAAATATATAAAGGCAAGACATAACCACCACATTGGTGGTGCTGGGTTGACAGTTTGACTTGATGATCTTAAAGGTCTTTCCCAACCTTAATGATTCTGTGATAATGGCTTCAACAAGTATTTTCTGAGCTAGCTGCATTTGTCATTTCAAAGGTATCATGTTTTGTGTGTGTTCTCTGATCAGAAAAGTCCTTCTCCTCCATACAAACTTGAGCAGCACACTAAAACAGCATGTATTTATGAACAGAAACACACATATCTACATCAGTACATTAAATACAACAAGATTTTAAGAAAGGAAGCCCTAGAAATGCTAGTATTTAGATCTAGTCATCATGCTGATCTTACCACATTGTTAGCTTGCCCTTTGGTATTCTTCTGTTGTGTCATGGGTTATACTTAGATTAGAAATTTTTGGGCATGAACTACTTTTTAGTCCTGACTTTGTAATAGATGCTCCAAAGTACTATGGTAATAAAAAGAATCAGAACAACTCACTTAAAACAACTTAAGACATGAAAATTACTGATGTTTCAATCTTCCAATAACACCACAGATTAAGTTATGATTAATGGCATTTATGACTGAAAAACAGATTTTTAGATTACTCATAGTATATCACATATCAGGACAGTATTTTATTTGGATTAGCTGGTGTGATGTATTATCCTTCTATTTTTAAAGGATATTAATCATAGTGAAGGAAAATGGCTTTTAGAAAACTACATACCAAGAATGTGAGAGGATATGAAAACAACTCTTCTCACCCATCTCAACCATGAAAAAGCAAGTGATTTACAATGGTACAGTTCACAACAAGAAGAAAAATTACCTGGCTATCAAGTAATCCACTTTCAACCTTAGCACCTTCTGGAGAATACTGGAGTCTCGAATGAGATAGCGGAGGGCTCGCAATCCTGCTGCTCGCACCTCTTTTGCTTCATTTAGTAAAGCCAACCTCAGACTACGATGAAGAAAACAACGGGGACAAACAATGATTTAGCAGCAGCTAGACTCTACCATCTGACATCCAGCTACTACCTAGTCATTTAAAATAAAAAGTCTTATTTTTAAGAAGAAATGTACTGCATTAATTTTCTGTCTTTAAGATATTCACCTATACAGATTAGAAGGCAAACCTTCACCCTGCCAGCAGATGTAGACAATATATTACTCTGAAAAAGCCACAAATCATTTTTTTTCCCCCCAAAGAACAGCTTGGACATCCATGAAATCATACATGACCAAGACCGGTATAGAACTTGTTATTTGACAAAACATGAGCACAGTATTAGTCCAAGAAAATTAAAAGGTAAAGAGCATTTCCTCCTCTGCTAGACTGACAACACGTATGTATGAATCCTCAAAACAACATCTAGACACCTAACAGACAAATTTGCACCTGAAGTAATTACATGCGCCACTCACTGAAGATGTTATGGCAGCATGCTATGTTTACATGAAATATGACAGTCATAACTTAAGCAGCACCACAGAGCACAGATTTCTACACATTTCATTTTAACAAATAACCAAAATGTATTTCTCATTAGACAGATTTTGAAAACATTTTGCTCACACCAAGGTAAGCTTTCCCAAACATAACTGTCCTCATAATGTAGTTTCCTAAATTCACTTTCTAGACAAAAAGAAATGAGATACTGAAGATCTGCAGAGATGGATTTTGAAAGTACTAAGTGACACATGGTCCTTTTGAAGGTCCTCAAAAGATTTGCCCCTTTTCCTTGACTACACAGAGTGGGGAAACTCCCAACCTCCCAGTGACATATTTTAGTAGGATTCTTGCAGTGGATATCTAAGAATGTAAATGCTTCAGCCAGTGAGACTGAACTTCTACCTATACAAATGGATTATTTTTTTTCTTTTCTTATTCTAGGATCATCATACATGGTAATCAGCTACTCCCAAGGCTAAAACCCTTCTAAATCTTACTGGAGCTTAATGGGTCTATGTAAACATCACTATAACGGGAACCTAATTCCAGGTGATATCCAGACAAAGTAGAAAAGCTGCAATACTATATACAGTAAAAGATGAACAGATCATTACATTCAGCACCAAGCAGGGAATTACTTGAGGAAGACCATCTTCGGTGTAATATCGAACAGGATTCTTCACATAAAGAGTGCCACTAATTGCCTTTATTTATTTACTTTAAACTGAGCTAGAAGCAAATAAGAAACATTCTCAATACTGTGAGGTTAAGAAAAATTCTTCCTCTAAACAAAAGCTGAACAAGAGGAGAGATTTATTTCTAAAGTCATTCAAGAAAAGAAGACAAGTAGCTCTTCAGTTGTGCTGAGCAGATAATAGGTATTCTTTAGATCATGAATCATGCTTTGTTTCTAATTTTGCAGCTTTGCAGAGATGGAATTCTGAAGGATGAGCATATAAAATTCAGTTCTACTCATTGGTATTTTTCCATTTGGACTTTTACCTCACAATTTGCAGTTGGTTTGGATATACCAGTTTAAAACACTTCAGCAGTTTCCTTTTAGAGCAGAAGTTAACCCATTACTCACCCGAACAGTATTGTTGCTATCTATGACATTTCTTACTAGGATAGCCAAATACTGAATCTGGATTTTTTCCCCCCTCATCAATTAAAGTACATTCCATTGAGAGGAAAACGTTTGTTGAGTGGCAAAGCAAAACAATCTTTAGACAAATAGTTTCCCAAAAGCAATTAATGCTTTGAAAGCTAGTTCTGCAACTCAGAAGAGAAGAATTTTCTTAATTTGTAGACAGAAGTTAATTTAAGAATTGGCAACAGTGAAACCACTACAAAGGACAACACTATCATGAGATTCTACATCCAAAAGCAGGTGGTACCAAAAAGGGATGTGTCACTATCTTTAAATAGTGAGAATGCAATGAAAATATATGCCTACCCAGAAAGATATAGACCTAAAATAAAGGCCATAAAAATCTACAGAGGTCCCATGAAAGCAATGACACATGTAAGTGTACAAGGCTGAACAAAAATCTCTCCATTGAAAGCAGAAGCTAAACAAAAACCCCCACTAGTCAATGACCAAACTGCAAAAACCTGAGAGAAACCTGACCTTATGAAGACAGTGAAGATAGATATGCTACAGCAGGCAGACAAAAATATGTAGGAAAACCTAAGTGCCTGTATGTTCTGACTTCTCAGGTGTACCACAAGGAGAAAACTTGAAAAATTAAATCAGACCCACATGATAACCCAAAAGGAAAAAGAATGAAGCAAATAAGAGATTGACAGAGGTATGACAGAAACAAGCATTTTCTTCAGCCTAAGTCATTGCTTTAGAGATCTGCATGAAGGTTCCTATCCTAAAGCCCTTTTTATTACACAAAATAGAAGTTAGACTAGGAATTGAAAATGATGGAAGAATTGGAGGAAATCTAGCAGTAAGTATTGTCAGCAGCACACTAAGCTTCACATCTAAGCGTTTGGAAAGAACATTAATATAAACTATCTGCATATATTTGCTAGCACCATATTATAAATAGTAGTGGCCAAGATGGAGAAAAGGTGAATAACAGGTCTATACAAAAAGGATCCCAAAGGGCATCCAGAGAACTGTTTATGATCCTAAAATAAAATCACCTTAAAATAAAACTGGCTAGCCATGTGAACACCCACAAGAGTTTACACAAACTATATTCTACTAGTCTTTTGAAATACTTGAAAGGAGTTACTACAATAGTGTATAAAAAGGCATAAAGTGTTGCTGAAGATTGTATTAAGGGATATAAAGAGATTATAGAGTGATGAAAAGTAGTATCACAAATAAAAATCTGAAAAGATTAATTCAAAGAGTGGAAGTGAACGAAAAACTTTTATCGTGACAATTTTTTGGCCTGATTTTGTCCAGGTTCACAATCTCCTTTTGTACGCAGTATTCAATACACAATTCTTGACTGGGGGGTGCAGGGGGTGGCAACAGAGAAATATAGGGGGCAATGTTGTTTATATTAATGAGAATAGGACAGGGTTACGAGAAGCCTGAAGGGAACAGAAAAATTATCTGTATGCATAGTTAACAAGATGAAGAAAATTCAAGACTGTTATTTGTGACTTCATACACATCAAGACAAAAACTGTTATAAACCCATATTACATGACTCTAAAATAGCCAGATGAAGAAAATTATTTTGATATGCACACTCCATGTGCATCTGTGGCTGAAAGTAACAAAAACACATGATGATTGTATAAAGTAAGCACAATACTACCTGCTCCACTATTTTAAGTGTCACAGAAATGAAAATAAGACCACGTTAAGGCTGATAAACATTAAGACTGATATAAAAAGACTGGAAGAACTAACAAAGGATGCAATAAGAAAGGATATTCACTACCTATTACAGGATCATTCATTCTCACACCTTTTTCTAAAGCATCTCATCCACTCACTATAGAAGGATAACAATGGTTTTCACAAATCTGTTTGATCCAGCCAGGTAGTTGTGAATATTTTGAATTTTGCTTTTACGGCCAAAGCCTCTTGGCACATTACTAGAAGACCTCAAAGGTTTCTGAGGCCTACCAATACTCCATTTTCTTCATGGCTCAAGGCTTCCTCTCATCTGTCAATGGTATGGGTGCTCTGGGAACTGGGAAGTCCCATCTACACTGGGAATGACAACAAAATGTATCACTATTATCTCTATCTGCTGGCAGGAAGAAACTATAAACAGGCACCTGAACTAACAAAATTCTAAAATAAGAATGAGTTCTAAAAAACAGATGTCTAACTTGAGAATAATTGCAATTATTGCAGACTGCAATTGTCTTTGGTTTGGGTAAATATTCTATCAATGTTACTGACCCCAAACCCTAGAACTTTATAGGAAATCTATTAATTATTCTTGAAATCATTGATTCCCTTATAGTTTAATGCTTTAAGGATAGCCACTCACACTTCACAAATGCAGAAAACTCAAAATATTTCTTGCATCCAAGTAACTTTTCATGTTTTCAAAAAAAAAAAACCAAAACAAGTATGTTCTGTAGAACAAAAAGGTTTGCCTATAGAAATCTAAGAAAACGTTAGGAATATCAGCAGAGCAAGTTACAGAATTTGCATGTTATTTCCAAAGGAATACAGGTACTTAGCCTACTAGGAAGAAAATTAATTCTATCCCATCTAAAGCCAGGACACCTACCTGAAGTTCATTTCCAAAAGTAATTAAAAAGTTCAGTATTTGCAAGTTACTCTGAATGGTTGTATGCTGTATAGAAAAATAATCTGCTAACAGATTACTACTGCAGAATAGCTGTAACTCTGTAAAGCAAAATTTTTAAATTCACCTGAAAAGTCTGTATTTCATGAAAACAATGCATCTTACAAATATTTCTGAAGAACCACCAATCAGCACTATTATGGTTGTTAAAATGTGCATTTTTGGGTGGTACCCTTGAGTTTGAAAATTATCACTATAGCAGAATAATCTACATATATGCATAAAAAATTTGCTTCTCATTTAAATCCACAGAGGAACCATTGGACTGACCAAGGAAACTCTAACCAAGATAATCTTCCTGCTATATGCCTATTTTTTTTTGAGAAGACATTTCCAGCATTTTTCTAAGTCGGGGACTATTCTTCATGTGTCTGTTGAGAACATTTTTATCTCTTCCTTATCAGTATCTGTAATTGTGTTTGGATTAGCAGCTCTTTCTACAAACTTCTTCCTATAAAAACAAACACTAGTATTTGCATAACCTTTTAAGACTTGTATTTAGAAGCATTTGGTAAAGAATTCTGAATTCTGAAGTTACACTCTTAAGTGATGTTTAATCCCATCATAAAGCACTATAATAGATTACATAAATAAGATTATAAGATGATAACCTAGTAAAGCTTACAGCAAAATAATGCATACACAAAAATATACTAACATTTTTCAATTTTTGTAGTTCTAGCAAGGAAAAATCAGTTCTATTTAAGAAGACAACTTAAAATATTTCCACACGTTTTCCCAACATTTTATTTGAAGAGCAACTAACTTTTCTAAGCTTGCTTTCCTAAGTCAGATAACTAAATTGAAAGAACACAAAAATCATATTAAATACTAGATCTTAGCTGTTTCTGTCACCAACACTGAGCTGGAGGACAAATTTACCAATGTCTGTGTAAAAACACGGAAGTTCTTGAAATAAGCATATAGTTACTTTTAACTGTCACAAATGGTAACAAATTATAGGAAAACTCCACTTGAAAGTACAGAGTGCTGTACAGAGCATTTTAGTAGCAGGGAAAGCAATGCTTCAGAGACATATACATACCAAATTCATATAAAACATTTATCTTTAAATCCTGATTCTATATCAAGAGTATGCTCCAAATTCTGTAGGAGCACATTTTTATGAAAAGTACTGAGATATTTAGAGGTATTTTTACACTTATGAGGAATTTCAAGAAATTTCCACTTTTAATTCAAAGGTTCCCCTCCACCTTTGCCTGAAAGAAAACAATGTATTTCTGATTTTGCTCATTAAAGTATTTGTCAGGTATATGTTGCATTATGAAATTTCAAATACATTAGAAATAAAGGATACTAGCTCAAAAGTACAAAGAAAATTGATTTAATTGCACCCAGATCAATTAACGTACCATAATATTGCTCTAGTGCACCTTACTACTTACCATATTATGATGCTGTCATAGGTAAAACCTAGCTTTTCTTCAGCATGGCCAGTATTACAAAGAAGCTTAAAATAAAAGAAAACATGTATTATTTATGAGTCTTTAAAAATGGCTGTGTAAAATTGAAGATTTCTGGCAATGCTTTCAAAGAAACCTGTGGAATTTTATTCATGGCAAGGGGAAGCATACCAACTTCAGACTTCCCTGAGAATTTCTGCTGTCAGTATTCTGTTCCCATATACGCCAGACACAGAAACCTGTGGCCTCTCATATTAGAGAAAAGCTTGCACAATTGTCTAAGCTGCCTATTGGTCAATTTTTAAACTCCAGGTTGCTCCTCTTGCTGTCTTTAAGCTCTTTTTGGAAGAACCATTAGTTAGGCAATTGGTAACCTGAGCAGAGATGAAATCTGAAATCAGAGCACATCTGCATTCAAAAGAGAGGGCTCCCTGAAAGTTTTGAAGCAAAGATTGACACTGATGGTCCACTGCCACGTTTTGCCACAGTAGCGCAGGCATAGAAGAAAAATCAGAAGGCATTACCAACAGCAAGTGTCTCACAACTGACATTTGGCCTGGCCTACTATCAATTCCATAGAACTTGTACCTCTGAAAAATCAGTTGCAAACGTTGCATTTACGCACACAAAAAGACATGCATAAACTGTAGCAAATTCTGAATATTTCAACCATGCCTATCCATTTTGAGCACAACACTGAAGATTTACAAGTGCAGTCTTTATGTCCAAAACCAATTTCAAAAGGAGTGTTCTAGTGCATGCCAATGTTTTAGCTTCTTGAGGAAAGGAAAACATTTTCTTCTGTAAGAAGAGCTGATGCTTGTTCTACTTTGTAAGAGCAGCAAAGAAATTCCTAGTAATCTCATTTACCACCCCCGGATAAAATTATAAAATACTTTATTATTACATCCAAATCCCAAAGCACTTTTCCAAGTACTTCCAAAAACTCAACTGACTAATACTGATTGCAATAGCTTTGCACTTTGTCCTCTTTTTTTGAAACAGGCATGTGTTCCGTTATGAGCCAGCACACTATCAACAGTTTCTCCTCAGTGAGGAATTCAGGAAGTGTTTGTGCTAACTAGTGAATACCCCTGCTCTGAAAGTATTAAAATATATCAACCCCTGTACTACGTTCTTTGTATGTATTTAGTGCTAACTATAAGAAATTTATAATAAACTAAGCAAACAGTTAAATATAACATGTTCCATGCTCTCGTTCTATTGTTCATCTCCATCTGAAAAACCAGCATGTTGCACAGAAACTCTGCTTTTAAGTAAACCCATTTTATTAGCATGATACTTTAAATTCAAACAATACTTAGGTTTATGCTAATGAAAAATTCTTCCACAGATCATGTTACGTTTTTAAAAAAAATTTTCATATTGTGAGAAAAGTGCATAATGAAAATGCTGAAATCCAAAATTGTTAATGAGATATATTATTAAATTAGTCCGGATCAGCCCCACATTATGGGCTTAAATAATTTAATTGAAATATTTCAGATTTTCCATTTTTCTTAACAGTGGCCACAATCAAGTATGATTATAAAACATAAGGAAGTTATTATATAACCTCTTCCCCCCACCTTTCAAATTTAAGTGATAATAAAACTAGACAATTGATGCATTAACTGGTTATGACAGTATGTCACTTCCCAGCATCAATCTATTTTTATGCCATGTTGTTGGACTGCCTAAGGCCACCACTGCTGCTTTAGCATTTCTATTGACATCTTATGAACTGTAAAAATCGGCTGGCTGAGTGTAAGCAAAACAGTGTGAGAAGATAGCGAGTAAAAACAGTTCATTGTTGAGTTTCAGAAAAGTACATCAATAGTTGTTTAGGCTCATCATTTACACATGTAAACTTCTCCCCATCATTCCATCCCAGACACAGATTTGAAATTCTAATTTAACAGAGCAGATTACCCTCAACAGTCTTTTTTTCCTAATTTAAAAAAAGCGCCACAGAATTATAATGCTGATGTAGGACTTCTTTTTTGGAGAAAGCTGCTATTGTGTGCCCTAGTGAATTTCTGAAGTGAGTCTCCTACATCACACTTACCATTGGTTTGCACCTTGAGTGGTCCAAACATGAAATTAAAGCAGATGACATGTTGCAGGAATCCACCTTAACTTGCTGCAATTGCTATAAAGAGCACTAGGTTCACTGGATCAGCTCTAGTCTAGTTGTCAGTAACCACGCTTACCAAATACATATAGCGTGATTATTAGCTCCTCAATGCCAACTGTTTTCCTCTATATATGTGCTCCCACTGTGCACACCCTCACTGATGTAGAAAATAATTCGATCTTATCTTGTAACTCAAACGTAGTCATGTAACCTGACGATATATAACTTTCATCAAGTTTAACCACTGTTTAGATAAAAATTTCTGAATGTGATGGTAATTATTATTTGTTTGATGGTGTCTGTGCATACACGTGAAATATTTCTCACAAAGAATGAACAGAAAATATTGGCTAAAGAAAGTAAGTACAAGATTAGCTACTTTAGCTATTAGTTTACTCTCATTCCAATGGGCCCCTATTACTTATGAATTGGCTTTTTTTGCAATTTACACACGGTAGTGTTCTTGCACGATTTCCATCTAGAAAGGAATTTAAAAAATGGACAGCAAGATCAGAATTTGAGATGTTTCAGTGATTTGAAAGGAGTGCACAAACTCAGTAAGAAAATTACAGGAATAATATATCACACCCTTCAGGGTACCACAACAGAACCATAAAAATTGAAAGGAGTCCAGCAGAGAAATACAAGGTGTTCAGAAAACATTCAGAATGTTAAATACAAAAAAAATTTCAAAATAAAGTAAGACCTGGGAGTTACAGCAAACTATGAACTAAAGAAGTTATTGTGATGTCATTAAAAAAAAAGGAAATTTTACCTTTGGAAATACTAACAGGACTCATTATGTTTGTGAGTAAGAGACTTTTTTTTCTTCCACTTCACAGGATGCTCTTAAAACTGCATGAAGAACAAATTTTGGGTGCCACATTTTAAGAGCAGACATACTGGAAAAAGTGCAGCAGAAAAATACACCTGTGAAGGCTGAGCTATTGGGTTTATGTAGTCTAGAAAACAACAAAAAAAAAAACCCACCTGGCAAAAGTAAGGTTGGATTGATATATGTTTAAAGGGAGTGGCAGGGAAAGGAGTCATGGAAGTTGCTATAAAGAAGGTACTGTTCAGCTGGTCTCAGTGCTTTGGGTATTTGCTCAGTTATAAATGTCCGGTCTTAAACATATTAAAAGGAAAACTTTGCCACTTCTCATTTCACCTTCCAACAACATTAGGCAGGTCAATGATTCTGGCCCAAATGAAGTGATTTTTGCAGATGGCTGGATTCTTGACAAAGCCAAGTAATCGCCATATGTTTGACTGTAACATTTAACAACTATTATGCATGTCATTGTAGTACAAGTTTGCAGGCAACCAGTACCAGAATACTAAAATCTGCTTTTGGTTACACTTTACTATATTACACTAAAATGGCAATGGATTATCATAGCATATAAATGCCTGGAATTATATATCTATGAAAAATATAAAGTGTATTTGCATATCTGATACACGAAGTGTTTATGGCTTTTATATATACACAGAATAAATTTTATGTATTTTTATATGTATGTATGTAGACACACATACACAAAAAGACAGAGTACGCTTTGCTTGTTAAAACTGCCAATAAGTCAACTCTAAAATTCAGAGCTTTTGATATTTGCGCTAAGTTGTGCTAGGGGAAGTTTAGACTGGGTAGTAGGAAAAGTTTCTTCACTGAAATGGTTATCAAGCATTGGAACAGGCTGCCCAGGGAAGTGGTTGAGTCACCATCCCTGGAGGTATTTAAAAGACTGTAGATGTGGCACTTAAGGACATGATTTAGTGGTGGCCTTGGCAGTGTTAGGTTTACAGCTGGACTTGCTGATCTTCAAGGTCTTTTCCAACCTAAATGATTCTATAATTCTACAAAATAGTACAGTAATGGGAGTAGCACAGAATCTTTGAGGGTATGATTTTATATTAGGACAAAATGGTACTACACTAGGCCAGACAGTGACTAACTTAGAGTGAATGTTTGGGGTTTTTTTCATGTTTGCTGTCAGCTTTGAGTTTTTCATGCTACTTGGATGAGTCATAGCAATACGAGTAAAACATCAACATGTCTTGGAAACAGTAGCTCAAAACAACAAAACCACAGTAGATCAACACCATCTACAAGTTGTTTATACACCGAGACCATTCAAACTTATATTTAACAGAATAGTCACAGCAATTACTAGGTAAAAGTATGATATTACTCTATGCATCCAAATGGTAATTATTACACTGTAATTTTGGAAAAAACAGTTTGAACCATCACTGGTTAATATTTATGAGGAGACTACTTAGGAGATCGTAGTCTTAAGAGAAGCCCTTACTGAAATTCCAGACTCTGAATTCAGACCCATTAGTCCTCCAGGTTTGTTCCATAGCTGAATGCCACTAAACAGATGTTCTGTTCCTATCTGCTAATACTTCATAATGAGATTTCAAGTTTTGCCCGAAGTGGTTTAGCTACTTGGATGAATGTTACAGTCAGTCAATACTGCATGCAGATTCTAAGATACCTGGGTTTTGCAAAGGAACACCAAGACTCTAAGATGATGGAGCAGGAATCTAAGAGAGAAAGAATCCATGAAATCCTCTATTGCCCCAAACTCAATCCATACCGTAGTGAAATACAGCAGCATGGGCAAAAGCTAACATATATACGGAAGAGTAGTAGAGCCTTATTAAGTAATGACGTAATTAGTTTTGAGCAGGTTTAAGATATAATTTTCCGTATCACTGACACTATTCAATTGCCAAGTTTAAACTAAAATGAGTTAAGTTTCATTTTGTCCTTAAAGCAGCACCTCTGTTTTTGAATGGAAAATAGAAATCCCTGTAACAATTGTGGATCTTTTTTCCCTGTTCATTATTTAAATATGCTTTTAGGTTTAAAAACATATAAAGGATCTCAGAAGCTAACAGTGGGATAAACCTTCTGTAATAAAGGATTCTAAATGAATACTTCAAATCCATAACATATTTTCCACTAGGTAAATGCAATTGTACAGTTCCTTCTGGTTTTCAGTAATTTACTGCTTACTACTGCTTCTGGGGGTGGGGAAAACCCCAAAGAAGTAACCATAATGTTTTGGTCTTAATCACCAGAAGCTGGGAAAATTCAAGGTGCTTGCCTTATGTAGCTGGCCATATAAATGAAAGATGGGTAATCCTACTCATCTAACTGAAGCCAAAGGCACATACTGAGCTTGCAAACTACTGTGACAACTGGAGGTATTACTGACAATTTACTAAAGGTCAAATCTTCAATCAATCTTCCAGTCAAAACTCAGGTTATCTTAAGTAGTGATACAGGTGCTTTGAAAGGAACAATATTATTTTTGTCTAATATAGATTAGGCAGTACTTCATCAATGTTTTTGCCTGCAAAACTGCGGCTTCACTTACTAGGTGATGAGCCACAGATGAGGAGAAAAAATGCTCAGTCTGCCACTGCTGCAATTCAGAACAAAAACACCTTTCCATATCCTGAGTATTACCAGACTAGAAATACTAATTTCTTGGAGCATAAAACTTAGAAACCTGTGAATAGTGTCTGTTGGTCAAGAACATCCCATTTTCTGCAGCCAAAGAGACAAGAACACGAATACTAAGGGTTTTACTAGTAAGAAGTACTAGCTAAAATTTGATGAATGACATGCAAGTTTTTGTAAAATACCATGTATAGAGAGTACTGTACAAAGTATGGGTGTTGCGAGGACCTGAATGTCACTAAGTTAACACTCCTTTTGAAGGGACTTACACCTCCGAAACAAGCAAGCAAGCTAGCTTCATAGAAAATATCTGCCTTATGGTATCATTCTTGCAGATAAAGTAACAAATCCTGTTGCCTGCTGACCACCATTATTTTAATAAATTTTATTTAAAGTATTTAACTTCTGCATAAACTCCTGGAGTTTAGTTCAGTAATTTTTAAAGGGTGATAACTTCACTTCTCCTTAAATAAAGGGGGTTGGGCAGAGGGGACAAACCCCACCTTAAAAGTCTAGTCCTCTTTCAAGGAAAGAAACCTGAATCTAACATACTTCAGATATCTTGGAATTAATAGAAAATGTAACATCTGCCATGATCTCTGACAGGAACATCCACATTAACTTACATTACTTGTTTCCACATGAATACAAGTGTTTTGCTTCCCCTGACTAAAAAAGTGGAGCAGTATTTCTTCAAAATTGAGAGTTGTCCAGTCTTTGAAGGAAAAATTGGGGGCAGTGGGGAGCAACTGCTTAGACTGGTGTTGACATTTTCTTTTAAGTGTAATAATATTCCTACCAAAAGAGTCAAATTTGACAGATTCTCTGTATTATTTTATCAGGCATATGCTATAAAAAAAAATTCAAAAGTCCTTTCCCTCTCCATAGGACAAATAATTTACATCACTAGTAGCCTTTCAAAAATGGACCATAAAAAGCAAGAATTTACAGAACAAAGTTCATCTTCAATATAATTCCAGGACAGGATACAAACATCTTCAGCTCTTAGCACATCTGTCTTCCCCACACTCCTATATCTCACAAACGGGGAACTGAGACTATATCAATTCATGGTAGAAGACCAGTGTGCAAAACTGAAATAAAGCCATCTCCCCCAAGCTCCAGGCTTTCACTCTCAACCACTGGAATGAAAAACACAGAATTGTTCCAACCACAAGGCAGACAATACAATACAAAACAATACAATTTGCAACTTCTATTTTATTTTCGTAACTGCATTTACAGTTCAAAAATAAGGAATAGTTTTCAAAATCAAATTTACAGGCAGATATTCCAGGGAGATTAATATAAGAACATGTGCTAAATATTAAATAGTGTAGGATGATTCCCTTAGGGTCATTCTGATTTAGGATCAAAATCAGGTTATGAACTACAATCTCTGTCTTCAAACATATTTAATTTTAGCAAGTTGCTTTTCACCAATTCATCACTTCTTGCCAGTCTAAAGTCCAATTTATGAAAACTTTCCCTGTGTTTTTGTAAGTATTTTCCAATTTTAACACCAATTAAGTATAAAGAACATATTCTTCAAATAGTCAGTTATGGAATTATTCAAATTTCCAAACTATCTTTACAAACAATTCTTCGTTCATCCTTTAATTACAGTATGCATATTTAGTAACTTACCATATTTATAGGTGCTAAACATCCGATTTTCAGTAGTAAAATCAACAATGTTTCATGATACATAGTTTCAAACATTGACTTTTCACTAGGAATCAAGCATATGCAAACCTTATCCAGCTCTTTAAGGCAACGAGAGAATTTGGAAGCACTCCCATTTAAAAGTTTCCAGATTAGTACAAAAAGGAAACACAGCTATGCATCATCCTTTTCTAGCAGAATAAAGAGCTTTCTTGCAACACAGTGTGGAATCTCAGTAAAAACAGCAGCATTTTGTCAATGGTGGATGTGTGACAGACTGACAGACACAATTAGGCAATGACCCAAAGAAAAGATTTCAGTGTAAGTTCAGTTCCTCAGTGAATGCTACGCACCTACACGAGCTCTGAATCAACTCGGAAAAATGGAGCTTTTACAGATTTGTTATTAATGCACTAGAAGATAAATTTGCTATTGTGATTTTGTTCTTAGTACTCACTCTCCTGCTAACTGAATCTCATTCACTACCACTGAAGTTTTGTTCAATCTTACAAGGAGTGCTTTTAACAGCCAAGAAGCATGCCTTCAAAGATTATCATGCATGTTTGTTCTTCTCATACCTATCGGTTCCCCAAACCCGCCCTTGAGCATTTGTTCTTCCACTTGAGATTGTCTCAAAACTGTCAAGCAGCCTCCTGGTTATCTTACTCAATGATTTGTTATCAGCTTATCTACAACAATAATTTAAACCTTACTTTACCCACAAAATTCTTCACTACTACCTTCTTTCTTGGCTACTGCTGATTGCAGGATTCATCCTCTTGTCACAGAAACTGGCGTTTCATCTTCAGGCATGTCACCCTATCTGTGGTGCTCTATCAGAAAGGTATGCAACTTACCAGATGCTTCTGAGTATCAGTCCATCCATTCAAGTAATACTCACACTGAAGCTCCAATGTCTCCTAGCTGATTTGACTGCAAGGCAGGTTTTCTCTTGCCTCAACAAACAGAACACTGGTCCAACCACAACCATTCAGTATGCTACAAGCACCCTTTTCCTAACTTACTGCACACCTCCTATCAGTCCTCTCTGCTGCTCCCCACAGGTTCCTCATCTACCCAAAAATGGTACTTGCTGTCCTTCCAAAGACCTTTCATGGCCTCCTTCTTCAGCCTACACTCTCATAATGCCCTAAGTTTTCAATTACTGCCTCCTGTCAGCTCACAATGTCAGCTTCCAACATATCCATCATGCTCTCAGGCAAGTAACTGTCACATTCCCATGATTTTGAAGCATTTATTTGGAAAAAAGCACCTCAAAAATCAGCAATACAGACCATTTCTAGAGATCATCCTTTTAATCTTTTTCACCATGAAAACTGCAGTGAAACTTGATAGTTGGTATTCAATTAGTGCCCAAACCACTGCATATCATACTCACTGTTCCAGTTCTCCCCCTCACCATACTTATTCTAAGTTTACATCCAGAGAGTCTGGCATTTCACATTTTATTATTCAATTCTGTGGACCAGGAACCAATCTTTTAAAAATTCAGCCAGTAAGACATGTAGACAAACATCAGTATAACCCTGTTTTCACATACTTGCTTGTCCTTATTTACTCCCTTCCTCTCCCAGAGTATATAGATTTCAAGTACTATTCTATAATATTAAGCTGTTTCATGAATCTTCCAGCCAATGTCTGACAGAGTACATACGAAATATTTTGCCTGTATGATCATTTGTTCTATGACACCATTTGAGCTCTTACCTTAGTAAAATTATTCAAGTGACCTAGTTTTCTCATATTTGAAACTCCTTGTAATTTGGCCACATTTTGGAGAATCTCTCTCATATTATCACAAGGTTCTGCAAAAGAAAACAGGTTATTAGCAGATACAGTTGGGGAAAAAAAAATCTAAACATGCATTCAACATGCAGTTTCCTAGATATAATGGGTACTCTCTTGGTCTCAATTAAGGATGCATATCATTTTCGCCTCAAGAAGCATCAATTTGATTTATGCTTAGAACCAAGACCAGACACACTCAAATTCTCTAGAACAAATGTTGAAGGCTATGAAGGAGAGCGCCTCCTATTTTAAAGCAGATTTTAATCAATATCTTAGATTTACAATTGACTTAAGAGTTACAATTAACAAAGAAATCCATTTAGTGTCTCAAACTCCAATCCTAGGATCTCATCACTTAAAAGATTTATCCTTAATCCCCTTGTAATGTAAAGGCAAGAAGTAAGCTTGAAGATGGAAGCGAAAAGATAGCATGTTACGGACACCACAGGACTTCTTTTTTCCCTCCAGACAAAGGGTTAGTGGGATTTTGGGAAGACAGGACTCTTTTCTGCTCTGCATATTAATCTGTGTCCACAATTACCCTCGCCTCTAGAGGGCTAGGACCTTCCAGTGACATAGGAAGTGAACTACAACGTAAACGGGTGACTAGGAACATCTTCTCCTTTCTTCTTAATGGTCCACCATCCCAACAGAAAAAAAACCACAAAACCCCACAAACCAGGATTCAGACACCAACTGATGATGCTGCATTCTGCTGGGAAATGGAAAAGGACTACCAAACATGGTGAGAAGAGCTGCCCCGCTTTTGGGAATAAGGCTGAGAGTTGAGGTAGAGTGGGCTGGGCAGACAGCTGCCTGCAGAGCTACTCCAACAGAAACTGCAGTAAGCTTTGTACATAGTGGTACCGCAGCAGGACAGTTTTTAAAGGGCATGCTTGACTGCACGATTCTCATGCAGTCTTTGATTAGACACTGTGTGATAGGTACAACTACACTATCAACAGCACTGTAGTTTGAAATAAATGAAATACCAAGGCTATGCTGGCGATGTGAACTCTTAGAAAGTATTACATTACCAAAAGATAAAAAATTGCATTACATAAAATGAAGTCTTTAGAAAAAGCCTGAAGAGTCCAAACACCAGACATCTGGAAAACAGCAAAGAGAAGGGTTTTGTGTGTGTTGCCCCACACTAACTTCAGTAAAAGAAACTTGCTTCCTACTGCAGTATATATAAAGAGTCTTTTACTGCCCTGTTCATCCTGAAAGGCTATTTGTACCTTTTTCATTATACATAAGAAGTTAAAAGAAACAGAAACAAAGCATCTTCTTCACCACCTTGCTACAAACCAGGCTGAGATTTTTATCAACTTCTGTAGTTTAAAAACTTAAAAGGCAACAAATTTGAAAAAGCAGACATAACTAGCAATCTCATTAGGATATATCCAGAACATATCTGGAAAGACAGAACTCTGCACTTGCACTACCACCAGGAATACAAGACAATATTTAAAGATTAAGACACCTACAGGTAGGCATCTGAATTAAGGTGTGTAAACCTGTAAACCCACTGTAGTCAATGGAGATCTCATCTATCAGCCAATGGAGCTGAAAACAATTAACCTGACCAGCTGTAAGGTGTCTACTCAAGGGTAAGGTGTATCAATTGTATTGACTACACTGCTTACAACGAGACTTTAGCACATGTACAGACACACTACTGCCACACCACATAACTGTCATTTTTTTCAGATACTGTATCAGTGAGATTTTAGGAAGCCAAGACAGGCTCCTAAACGTGGGCATCAATCTGAATCATCATCAGGTTGATGTGAAATATCATAGAATCATACAATAGTTTAGGTTGGAAGGGCCCTTCAAAGGTCAGCTAGTCCAAGCCCCCTGCAATGAGCAGGGACATCTTCAGCTACACCAGGTTGCTCAGAGCCCCATCCAACATGACCTGGAATGTTTCCAGGGATGCGGCATTCACCACCTGTCTGGGCAACCTGTGCCAGTGTTTCACCACCCTCACTGTGAAAACTGTCTTCCTTACATTTAGTTTAAATCTACCCTCTTTTAGTTTAAAACCATTACCCCTCCTCCTATTGCAATAGGCCCTGCTAAAAAGTCTGTCCCCATCTTTCTTATAAAAGACCGCCACAAGTACAGACAGAGCTACCTTGCATTGGAGAACAGTATGCATAGTAAAACCAAGCATCCAGTAATTCTGAATTTAAATTAGAACATGCGTATGCACCTCTTTGAACCTGAACACCTGAACCAACCCATCTGAAAAAAATCTTACTAGACCCATCCCAAATTTAGGATTCCTCTGCATAGTTTATTTTTCCAAGGCGTAACTTAGTTTGAGAGATTTGCAATACCACAAGCCATAGAAACAAGAGAAACACTGAAGACAAGCAGGCTGGGATAGTTATGGCACTACAAATACTTTATATCATAGCTACTAATTCAAGGGAACATAACAGAAGAGGAAAATAACTTCCTCATAATTTGGTTTCTCTGAAAATACAGTTTGGCTGATTTCTATGTTTTGGCCTACCTTGGGCAATAGGTGGGAATTTCCCTGCCTCACACTACTTTTGGACCTGTAACATACCCCATTATGCCACAACAAACATCTCAGGTGAGCAGCCTTAGATCTCTTCAGAATGTTCTACTTCAATTCCCTGGAGAATAAGAAGCAACAATAACTTTCCAAAATGACTGGAAATATGCTTGTAAGTTTCAATTTTGGAAGTGCAGACAGCTACATACTCAAGGTAAACATCTACGAAAACTAAGCTCACTATATGGACAGAAAAGACCACAAAACTAGCCCAGGAAACCTCTTGTATGTCACTGGCAATGTTCAGCTACCTGATAGAGTGGGCACTAACTCAGAAGTGAGCAAGGTGTGCTGTGTAGAAAGGCAGCCAATTTGCATGTGAAGAAACCAGGACATGATGATGTCTAGGTAACTCTCCTTGTTAACAATTCTGTAGCAAATGGCAGACCTTTATAACAAGGGTGCCTTATTAAAAAATGCACTAAAACCATTTTACTCTACATGTGTATGAAAAGCTGCAGTTACAGCAACTTTTCCTCACATTGTCCTCTTTCTGCTGAGAACTCTTAATTTCTAGACAGACAGAAAAGTCTGAGAAAAACTGTATTTGTAGTACTTAGCAGAGCAGCCAGAAGCTTCCTAGAAGCTTCACTAGCAGCCAAGTAATTTGATGCAAGTAGGGACTCCAGTCCTTCCTTACTTTATCTACTTACTGTAGTTGTTGTAGATAAGATCTACAACACTGTGAGAAAATTGAGAACATATCAATTTGATAGTGGAAATTTCTGTTGATATGAATACAGCATGTTATCTGGCTCACACTTCGATTATAACAACACTAGTGCTGTGGAAAAAAAAAAAGACAGTAAAGAAATGAATACCCTCTAATAGCATACGGAAAGAACCAAGACTACAGAATCTTTTTGGTCAAGCCTTGTCAGTTCAAGTCTTGTTTTAAACTTCAAAAACTTCAAAAGAACCTTTGCAAAAGTTCTCTTCCAAAAAAGTTAACAAAAGAATTGTGACATATTAGCTTCAAGGAAAGACTGGCTATCCTGTTCTTCCTCTTCTGGAAATGCATCCTATATTAGAAAGAAGTAGACAATTTACTTAGTTACTCAAGTGTGACTAACTCAGTTACTAATTTTTCTTTAAATATAAAGCCAATAGGGAAGGTAGGCAGGCCTAACAAAACTTCACATGTGGCAGATGTAAAAGAATTTAAACAAAACAACATGACTTCACAAATGGAGAGTCTCTTGCTAGTCTGTCCCTTACATTAAAATGGGCTTGAAAACAGACTACATTCTGGACTCTACCAATTAAGCCATGTGGCTTTCCCGCAATCAAAGATAAGATCCAGGACTGCGTATCTTCCTGTCTCCAAGTCTCATGCAACAGCACTGAAGAACACAGATTAATGCAGAAATGGAAAAACATGGCACAAAATCAGAGAGTGATCTCCCAAGAGAGTAAGTATCATGGCCTTAACATTTCATTGTCAAGCTTTACAGCTCATGTTGGTGTTGCCAAGGACTTTTAGGTTTTGTTTTTTTAAAGGACCCCTGTTCAGACCACTGCTGCAGAGATTTCTTAGCTCTGTTTAACCCTTACTCTTTAGCTCTTCAGAAGTTCTTGCTTTCCAAAAAAAAAAAAAAAAGAAGGAAAGCTATTTGTTATAATTTTAAGACCCCTCAAAGGTCTATTTTTTCCTGACTTACCTCATTAATTACTGAGACTTTGACTCATCTCTAGCTGGCCCATAGTGACAACCAAGTATATTCACATTCTTTCCCATAGTGCTTCTGAGGGTGGAGTTGTGCAAAATGACTGAGCTGATCTTACAGCTTTCTTCTGCCAAAAGATGCACAACCCCTTCCCTTACTTTCCTTCCCTCTATCTTGTCCCACTATATGATACAGCCTATACTTTACACTACTCTGACCCATCAACTCCACATTAAAATGATTCTGCTAACTAACTCAGAATATTTTTCATTCTTTTGGCTATGTTAGTTTTCTGCTGGGTTACAGAGTCAAACTGAATACCAAAGTCTTACAAAAATTGATGCAGAAATAGCTATGCCACTGAGCTGTTCACAGAGTGGTGGAAGCAGGATGCACCCTCTCCACAAGACACTAACTAGAATAAGTCAGATAATCTTTTTTTTTTTTAATCCACTCACCCACACTTTTACACTTGACAAATTGTCCCGATTAATGGGACAAAGCCACTTTACCCCAAATCTCACCTAAAAACTTCTTGATATATACAAAAATTTCAAGCCAGCACACTTGTGTTCTGCAACAACAGCTTCATTTGCTGATCATTACTGTCTTATTTTCTATGTATCCATCTTTTTTTTTTTGGACAGCAAGCACTTTGAAGTAGCAGTTATCTTTGTTCTGTGTACTTCTGCTGCACCAAACAGTTTCACATCCACAACTGTTTGCACTGAATAACACTCAGTACATATGATGATGA